CCCAGCTACTTGGGAGGCTGAGGCAAGAGACTTGCTTGAGCCCAGGAGTTGGAGGTTGCTGTGAGCTGTGATGCCACACACTCTACCCAGGGGGATAGCTTGAGGCTCTGTCTCAAAAGAAAAGAAAGGAAAAAAAGGTGATACGGGCTTGGCACCCTTAGCTCAGCAGCTAGGGTGTCAGCCACATACCCTGGAGCTCGCGGGTTTGAATCCAGCCCTGGCCTGCCAAACAAATGCCAGGCAGCGCCTGTAGTCCCACCTACTTGGGAGGCTGAGGTAAGAGAATTGCTTAAGCCGAAGTGTTCAAGGTTGCTGTGAACTGTGACTCCACAGTACTCTTAACAAGAGGGACATAGTGAGACTCTGTCTCAAAAAGAAAAAAAAAAAGAAAAAGTGATGTTTTATCTTCCTTCCTTTCTTTTTTTATTTTGAGGCAAAATCTCATTCTGTGCCATGATATTATCATAGCTCACAGCAACCTCAAACTCTTGGACTCAAGTGATCCTCTTATCTCAGCCTCCAGAGTAGCTGGACTATAGGCACCCACCACAAAACCCAGCTAGGCTTTTCCATTTTTAGCAGAGACAATGTCTCACTCTTGCTCAGGCTGGTCTCCAGACCCTAAACTCGTTATCCTCCTGCCTCAGCCTTCTAGACTGCCAGGATTACAAGCTTGAGCCACTTCACCCAGCCTGTTTTATCTTCAAAAATGTATGCGTTCCTAGATATAATCTGACCTGAATTACAAACAGCAACATAGAATCATACCTCATTTTATCTAGTATGCTTCCTGTTCTGAATGCCAACTGTATTTGTATTGCTTATTTGCATGGAAAACTTCTCTTGTTTATTCTATTATCTATCTCCCATGTACATTCAAATAATCATCAGCAACTTTAGTTACAAACTCTACACACAAACAGTTCATACAACTTGACTCAAAATCCATGCACTAGATTTCCTGATACTACAAATGGTATACATATGAAGATGCATGTCTTCATCACATCATATTGCTGGAATACAATAATGAAGAAAATGGGATAATACACAATGCCATTGATATTATTTAATAACACCATTAAGTAACCATCACAAAATAAAGTGCGTGCTCCAATGAACATAAACTGTTAACAATTATGATGATATTTAAGAGTAAGCAGTATCTCAAATGTTTTTACGCTTAGCCAGAAATCATGCTAAAATGTATAATACTTGTTTTAAAAACACAAAAACAAGAACATTTAAAAAAAACTCAAAGGGACCTTGCAGATTTCAATCTTCTTATTCTAAAATCAAGAAAACTGAAAAGTTAAGTATTAAGGAAAGTAGCAAAGCCAGAGCAGTCAAGTTGTTATGGAGTGAGCGATCAAAAACTTAGGTCCTTAGTTTAATGTTAAACTATACCACCTCTCTTAAAAACAAGCAAAAAAAAGTAAGATAACAATGGCTGTGGCAAACAGAGTGAATATTTAAAAAAACTAAAGACAGGCTCAGCGCCTGTGACTCAAGCAGCTAAGGCACCAGCCACATACATCTGAGCTGGTTGGTGGGTTTGACTCTAGCCCAGACCCCACCAAACAACAATGACAGCTGTAATCAAAAAATAGCCTGGCGTTGTGGTGGGTGCCTGTAGTCCCAGCTACTGGGGAGGCGGAGGCAGAAGACTCGCCTGAGCGCAGCAGTTGAAGGTTGCTATGAGCTGTGATGCCATGGCACTCTACCCAGGGGGATAGCTTGAGGCTCTGTCTCAAAAAAAAAAAAAAAAAAAAAACCTCAAGACAATTACAATTTTAGAAAATTTTAGAAGCATTTAGTTAGAACAGTACACTCCCAAAAGAAAACAAATTAAATGATCTCTAATTATTGCTTTCTAAAACAGACGCTGTGGGTTTAAGTGGCCTGGGGTGACTTTAGGCAAATTAGATCAATTTCTTAATCTGCAAAGTGGTAATTAAAGAATAATTTCATGGAAGTATAGAGAATTAAGTGAGAGAAAGCGTGTAAGCCATTCTCCTGCCTCAGCCTCCCAAGCAGCTTGGGACTACAGGCTACTTGAGAAGACAGTACCTGAGACGTTTTAAGTAATCAACGGATAGTATTATAATCAGTCAGTAGCGGTACCATTATTTTATTTTAGGTTCACATTTTTTGTCAGTGGGTAAAACTTTTTAAAGTCACCAAAAGTGAACGACTATTTAATAAACAGATACATACCTTTAAGGCTTTGTACAGCCGAGGAAGCTTTTTCTCAATTTCTATAATTACTTCTTTTCCTTCTTCTCCAGTCATACGACTTAAAAAGCAAAAAGAACACAAGTTTATGCAAGTGGCAGAAGAAAAGCACTTTTCTCACTCCTTAAAATATCTGCATTATCTTTTTAAGATTACTTTCTATCTCTTGTCACACACACACAAAAATAACTTTTTGCATTCAGTGCGCAAGTGTGACAGGCTGACTAAAAACGGAGCAGAGAACTTTTATCCCTCGTTACAATTCACCAGCGATTTACTAAAGCCCCACGAAAGACTGCATAAGGTTTAACAGATTTCTGTAGAAATATTACAAAGCATTTTGGAATTAAAGTAAAAACCAGGTTCTATTAAAAACCTCCGTTCTGAGTGGCTCCATTTTCCCGACGCTTCACGAGTTTATACTGAAAACCACCCCTACCTCCGCTTCCAACCAAAACTTTTAAAAATCCCTCGCTCGCAAGTCACTTGCGCGGGGTCCCTCCTCACGGACACCTTGAGCGCTCAGGAACGTCACTTGGCCACCATCTCCCCAGCCCGCCGCCTCCGGCGTCCTCCCTCCTCCATTCCTCCCCAGACCCGACGCAGCCCCCTCAGCGGCCTCACCTGGTCAGGGTCAGGTAAGCATCAGTCTGCTCTCCATGGGAGGCGGAAGCGTCTTCCAAAGTCTCCAACAGCGGCGCGAGGGGGCTCTGACCCCGGGCCGTCATGTCGGCCACCCTGAGGCCGGGACCGGAAGAGGAGAAAACCCAGTGACCGACCGAAACAGCCCGCAGCAGCCCGGCCCCCGCACGCGCGCCTGCCCGCCCGCCGCGGCCTCCCCGCCACGCTGCGGCCGCCCCGGGCCTCTGCGCACAAACCCAAGCCCGAACCTGCTCTTCTGGGGGACCCCACACGCCCGGCCCACGCCGCGCCGGGGCCTGAACACGCTCCCGCCACCACTTTCCCGGGCCGCTTTCAACAGAGGGAGGAGACCGGCGGGGGGCGGGAGCAGCTCGGGGAGCGAGGCGTCTCGCCGCGAGGGGGCGGAGGCTGAGCCACCCGAGGAGTCCCCGCAGCCTACACCGTGTCCCCGATAGTTATCCTCACGTACAAAGATCAGAGCTGGGCCCGCTCCGCCGCCGCCCCTCAGCACCTGGACGCCGCCGGAGCTCGACTTGCCCGGCGCCGGCTGTTTACTCACGCGTGCAGCCCGCTCCCTCCCAGACCAAGATGGCGGCGGGGGCGGGCCCGCGAGCGCGCGGGAGAGGGGCAGGCATGGCGGGAGAGGCTCGAGCCAATCCAACAGGCAGTCGCGCACCGGAGTCATCGATGCCCCGCCCCGCCCCTGGGGTCAGCCTCAGGTGATGGTGCTTTGCCTAAGGCGAGGGGCTTGAAATTCGCAGTGTGGGGCCGGGCTTGGTGGCTCACGCCTGTAATCCCAGCACGGTGGGAGGCCGAGGCGGGTGGATAGCTTGAGCTCAGGAGCTCAGATTAGCCTGAGGAAAAAGCGAGACCCCCAAAAACTGCAAGAATAAAAGGAAAAAGCGAGACCCCCGTCGCTACTAAAACTAGAAAAACTGAGGCAAGAAGATGGCTTGAGCCTAAGAGTTGGAGGTTGCTGTAAGCTATGATGCCACAGCACTCTACCCAGGGCGACAGCTTGAGACTTTGTCTCAAAAAAAAAAAAAAGGGAAATTCTCAGTGTGAGTGAATTATTCATATTCACCCGACTTAATATAGTGGACCTTTAGACTGCGTTTCCAAACTTCAACCCAGTGCTTGTGAAGTGCAGCATCAAATCCTGTAGCAGAAGGACGAAGTGTACGTTCGGTTGAAGTTAAGAACTGTATGTCAAGCAGGCACGGATTCTAACTCTGGTTCTGTGTGACCTCAGAACCTTTCCAACACCTCCATTTCCTCCCCTGTAAGATAGAGTTAATAGTACTACGTCATCAGGGGTACGAGAAATGAGAAAAGGCAAGGGAGGGCAAAGGTTCTCGAGTTTTAAGTACGCAGCTATAGCCTGGGAAGTAACTGATACTAAGCGTCCGATTTCAGTGCCCGCCCTTAAACAGTCTGATTCAGTAAATTTAGGCAGCTCTCAAGCACCTGCATTCTTCTATTAGGCCCCCGGATGCAGAGGGTGTTGAAGGGTAAGATTCGGCTTAGGCGTTTTACGTGTAAAGTAACCCACCGTGAACCCCTACGGTAGTCATTTCTCACTATTAGTAATATGCTGCTTCCCTTTTCATATGCATATGAGCACTCTAAGAAGCTCTCAGGATTTTATCAATGTCAAACCAGGAATCTAAGGCCCCGCAGGGATGGAACATTCCCAGGTGTCCAAAAGAGTTCCTGGCCTCAGATTTGAGCCCCCACCCACAAACTGTGCAACTATCAGCTCTAGAAATGGGGCTGCTTTTTGCTCTTGTCTGTGCCATTTGCACTTAGCCAGAAGTTTGCCTAACCAGGCATGCAATATGTACTATACAGCACGTTTCTTTCTTTCTTTCTTTCTTTTTTTTTCAGTTTTTGGCCGCGGCTGGGTTTGAACCCAACACTTTCAGCATATGGGGCCGGTGCCCTACTCCTTTGAGCCACAGGCGTCGCCCTACAGCACGTTTCTTGAACAAAAACATGGATGAAGAGAGAGACGAAGGCATACAAGGTCTTGCGAGCCAAACTGTGGAAATTAAAGGAGTAAAAATGGTAAAGAGTTGTGTCTAGGTAAATAATGGAGGAAGACCCTGTGGAAGTAACCACTGAGGTGGTTTTCGAATGTTCTCTAAACTTCAGAGGGAAATTTGCTCCTCATTTTCTGGGCTTTGGGAAGTTAACAGATATTTAAAGACAGGTTATTAGGCGGGGCACGGTGGCTCACGCCTGTAATCCTAGCACTCTGTAAGGCCTAGACTGAGGGATCGCTTAAGTTCACAAGTTCCAGACCAGCCTGAGCAAAAGCTCAGAGACCCTGATCTCTACTAAAGTAGAAAAACTGAAGCAAGAGGATGCCCCAGCCCAAGAGTTGGAGATTGCTGTGAGCTGACTCTGAGGCACTCAGAACAACAGCTTGAGACTCTTGTCTCAAAAAAACAAAAAATAAATAAAGACAGGTTATTAGACAATGGATGAAACAATGGGCACATTTGCAACATTTAGATTTCAGTATAATGGCGCTGCTGTGTTGGAAATTGAGAGGACCTTGCAACTCAATTACATTGTAAGATGACCATGAGATTAGAAAGAACAGTGAGCTTGTCTTCAGGCTAGTGCATCCATCAGCGTAATTATGTTCCTTACGCTGCTTTAAAATTGTTCTTTCTGGCTCAGCGCCTGTGGCTCAAGCGGCTGAGGTGCCAGCCACATACACTTGAGCTGGTGGGTTCAAATCTAACCCCAACCGCAAGCAACAATGACGGCTGCAACCAAAAAATAGCCAGATGTTGTGGCAGGTGCCTGTAGTCCCAGCTACATGGGAGGCACCAAAAAATAGCCAGGTGTTGTGGCAGGCACGTGTAGTCTCAGCTACTTGGGAGGCAGAGGCAGGAGAATTGCTTGAGCCCAGGAGTTGGAGGTTGCTGTGAGCTGTAATGCTACGGCACTCTACCCAGGGCAGAGTAAAATAAAATAAAATAGTTCTTTCTAGTATTTACCACTACCTAATATTATATATGTGTTTTATTGTTTGCTTCTCCCTATTAGAATATAATAAATTCCATAAGGAGAGGGATTTTGCCTTATTTTTTTCCCCTAATTTCTCATTTATAGAAAACAATCTGGGGTGGTCACATTGCTTGTACTTCTTTCACAGACAAGGTTCTTTCAGCTTACAAAAATGTTATATAATATCTTATTATTCTCACTTTTGTGCCTAAAATCCTCCAGCAATTTTTATCAATTGCAAGATGAATTTGAAAACTCTTAGTAAGCCTATTTATCTCCAGCATTAACTCCACTTCTTTTTTTCTGAGAAAGTCTGACTTTGTCACCCTGGGTAGAGTGTCATGGCATCATAACTCACAGCAACCTCAAACTCCTGGGCTCACTTGATCCTCTTGTCTCAGTCTCCTGAGTAGCTGGGACTACAGGCACCTGCCACAACACCTAGCTAATTTTTAGAGATAGTGTCTTGCTTTTGCTCAGGCTGGTCTTGAACTTGTGAGTTCAAGCAATCCAACGGCTTCAGCTTCCCAGAGTGCTATGGTTTTTGGCGTGAGCCATCACGCCCAGCCCAACAGTATGCCAGAATCTCTTAATCTTTCTGTGTCTTTGAAGATTCCTTGTGTTTTAATTCCCTTTTTCAAAAGTGATTAAGTCAACTAAAATCATACTAGTTGATTGATTTAGTTGACTAAATCAATTTTAGTCAAACTAAAATTTTTCTGAAATCCTTTCCTCATCTACTCTTCCTCTACACCCTTCCTCCCTTAGAGAATTAAATGCTTTTGCCTTCATATTATAGATCTGTTAAAATGAGTGTCTCACTAATTCATTATTGTCTGGTTATAGAAATCTGCAATGGAAGAGTTGAAGGTTAGCCTGAGTGGAATTAATTGCATCCGTAATCTCAGTCAGTGCCCCTCCCTCAATCTCATCTAAAATTCTAAAATATTATAGAGTCAAAACCAATCCCCTTCCCTACCCAGATCCCTCTCCACACAGTGTTCCAACTTGGTCCCTAAAACTTCTCTTTCATAGAAATTTTGGGGCAACACTAAGGATCTGCTTCCACTGAGCAATAAATTCATATACCTGGCACTCAATAAATATAATCTGAATTAATTTGTTCCTGTATTAATTTATTTATTTATTCATTTGTTCATTCAACTAATAGACAATTTTTATCTTTGGCTTTACAAATCTTGTATCTTTTCTTTCCTCAGAAATTTTTTCTTTCAAGATATAAAGTTCTGAATCCTCAATCCAGTACTCCTTTCTTAACTTCTCCATTCCTGTTTTTAACTGTGCATTACTCAGCAAATATTAACTCTAAAATCTTACATCTATCAATGATCTTTCTCAGACTTGTCGCAGTGGTCCTAATGATTCTTCCTACCCAATAATTCTTAGATCTACCACCAATATCTATCTAGGATTCCAATTTATAGCCTAGCTACACCTAAACATATTATTTCAATATTGTATCATTGCTTTTTTAAAAACTGCTTTTTATTGAGTGCTAGATGCCCGACATTTATTCCTCACAGTAGTTCTAAAATGAGGAACTTTCCTGGACTTATAAATAAGCAATGTTTAACACTTAAGAGTAAAATAGAGAACTTTAATCCAGTCTCATGTGACTCCAAATCTGCTTATTCATCAACATTCAGTGAACTCTACTGTCAGGCCGGTGTGGTAATCCTAGCACTCTGGGAGGCTGAGGTGGGTGGATAGCTTGAGCTCATAAGTTCGAGACCAGCCTGAGCAAAAGGGATCTCTACTAAAAATAGAAAAGTTGACACAAGATGATCGCTTGAGCCCAAGAGTTGGAGGTTGCTATGAGCTATGATGCTACAGCACTCTACCCAGGGGGACAGCTTGACTCTGTTTTCAGAAAAAAAGAAAAAAAGAACTCTGTCCTCCACAAGGGACTGTGGTAATATAGCTTTCATGATAGCTACACTCTTGAACCTTGCAAGAAAAATTTCATGGAAAGAGTCCCATGGGAGGCTTGGTGCCTGTGGCTCAAGTGGCTAAGGTGCCAGCCACATACACCTAAGGTGGCGGGTTCGAATCCAGCCCCGGCCCGCCAAACACAATGATGGCTGGAACCTAAAAAAAAATAGCCAGGCGTTGCGGTGGGTGCCTGTGGTCCCAGCTACTTGAGAGGCGGAGGCAGGAGACTCTCTTGAGCCCAGGAGTTGGAGGTTGCTGTGAGCTGTGATGCCATAGCACTCTACCCAGGGGGACAACTTGAGGCTCTGTCTCAAAAAAAAACAAAAAGTCCCATGGGAGCTCACTATTT